ATATATATATATAAGAACAAATATATAACAAAACTCTCATGTGTGTATAATAAAATATTGACCTAAGCTCTTAAGTGTAGAAGTTTCTCCGGCAAAAGAGGGAAGACTTTCATTTGTGTGATGAAGAAGGGAAGGAACCCGTAAGCCTCTCTTCTCCTCTGTTTTGAACGAAGAGAAAAACCATGCCTCAAGTTTCATAAAACATGAGTAGGAATAGGCTCAAGGCTAGGGTGGCCGGGCGCAATGTGACATCTTAAGCTCTATCATAAGGGGCATGAAGATGCTCCTTCATTAAAAAAAAAAAAGAAGAAAATAAAAAGAAAATAATCTACTAGGAAATGAATTAAAAGAAAAGAATCTACTAGCAAATTGAACTGAGCACTCGAAAAGTCGTTGGTCTATGTGCTTGACATCCAAGATCCAGATCTTAAAGAAGCCAAAAGATATTATACTCTTTAGGGAGTATAATGTCCATTTATTCCCTCGGGCAAAACTCCACCTTGACTTAATTTTAGGATCCCAAATTCTGGGGATATAACCTCTTCAGCTCATATATTAACCTCGGTAAAAAAAATTCCTAATTACACCTCTAGCCACCTAAGAAAAATAATATCTTAGGATTGAATAGAGACCGTACAATTTTTAGAGGGTGAGAAATAAATATTAAAGATCTCAAATTTCAAACTTTTTCTGTCGAGAATAATCATCTAGTGATTCTTAAGTAGTTCCCAAAATGTCTATTCGAAACGATCCTCCCAAGTAGCCATTTTAATCATGGGAGTATATGTGACTTATGCTCCCAAGAGGATATAGCATATTTGTCCCCCAAAGATGACATTATATAGGATAATGATTTGTAGTTCTTTTATAGATCCATTAAGATGTTGAACAATAATTTTATGGTCTTATTTAGTGTCATTAGAGTAATACTTTTGACTTATTATCTAAACTTTCAATAAATCCAAGAACAATGGTTATTCTACTGTTATAACAAAAAATATATCATATATTTATTAAGAACATAAAATTGAAAACAAAACTAATATTAAATATAGGAACTACATTAGTAAATAATAAGAACCGTAAACCAATGTATAGATTATTGTTCCATGAAAAAAACAACAACAAGATCCTCAAGTGTAGGATTGCAATTAATGAAAACTAAAAACAAAGACCCAAATATGTAAAATAGCAGTCGTTCCAAAATATTATGTTGTATACACCAATGAAATGAAAAAATAAAATATAAAAATATGAAATCAAACTTTTCCATGCATAAAAAAAGCAACAAAATGCTTAAACCAATTCAAACCTCACACTAAATTCGTATGTCATAAATTTGTATGTCTAAAACTTTGGTATCATTGAATCTCCCTCTTGCCCGTTATAAGGATGCTCTAGGTTTAAAGAAAAATAAATAAGATCATTAGGTTATTCTTCTTCTAAATCTACTTATTATTTTGATATAAATGATTGTTTTGATATCTTTTCTTGCTTTTATTTTTTGTACACTTTTAAAAAAGAACTTATTGGTGAAATTTATTATATATTTTTTTAATTAAGATTTTTAATTTACTCTCACGGTTAATGTGCTCATCTTTCAACCAAAATTCAAAGTTAATGAATAAATAAAGTTAGGGAGAAGTTTTTTTTAAAAGAGATAAAATACGGATTTATATCTATATTGGTTCTTTAAAAAATTCAATTTTTTAAAGATCTTTTAAAAAAACTCAAAAGTCCATAATGAATTTCAAAAAGTTGGAGATTTTTTGAAAAAATCGTGTTCTAAACAGGAGATTTGTTAACTATGGTTGTGATCTCCTTGTACCAAAGTTAAATGATCTCACACCATACAATCCTTTAATATCTCAAAGTTTGTGAAGAATGCCTCTGACGAAATCATCCTCCAAAACAAGGACAGGGCTCCTCACAATGTGCTGGCCCCCTTCCTCTTCCCACTTAAACCAGCCAACTGAAAAATTCCTTAAATTACCCCTCTCATCTTTCACCCTCTTCACTCCCACCTCATACTCGAGCCTCTCGCCAAACCTCCTAAACCTAAGTCTCTTGGGTCGAATCTCCACATCAAACCCACTTAGACCCACAACTCGAGCCCTATACTTGCAACCACTTGAACCTACATTTCGAACCCGCCGCCTAACCCCAACCCACTCTTGGTTCAGTCCCATAACCATCACAACCGCCGGATAATTCAATTTCGTTAGCAGGTAATCTTTTTCCCTTGATCCAACACCACAATCCACCCATTTTCCAACCACGAGTCTTATCTGCTTTGGACTATAATTCAAGCCACATAGGAACACTGTGTAGTCTTCATGCTCTAAATCATACACCAGACCTGGGTCTAAGGCTTTTTCAGGCTGTAAGAATCCAGAGCCAATGCCTAAAGGCCCAGAATTTTGGCCGGAACTCTCGTCGGAAATCAGTTTCCCAGCGAGATTTCCAGCGACCCTCGCTGTAGTCATGAGAGCAGATTTTATGGTCCCTGGGCTCCAGCTCGGGTGAGCAGCTTTCAAGAGGGACACCGCACCTGATACATGTGGACACGCCATTGATGTACCGGTTTGTATGTTAAAACCTATGACACGGGTGTCAGACACAAGATTAGTTGGGCCAACATGTGGAGTCCACGAGCCCAGTATGTTGACACCTGGAGCCATTAAGTCTGGTTTTAGAACTGTGGGTTCAACTTGATTGGGTCCACGACATGAGAAAGAAGCCAGTATGGGTGCTGGTCGCACACAAAGTGCCGTCCCTTTTGAGAAAATCGTGGCCGTTGGATTAAGACTTGATGAGAGATAAGATTTTAGAGAATGTATGGCTGAGATTGGGATCGTTATGGTAGGTAGTACGTGTGGCTCCGCAATTAGACCCAAGGGATCAAACTGTTCATGAGAGATGATCATCGCAACGGCACCTTTAGATTTTAGCCACATCCCAACCGTTGACCGCGAGACTCCTTTTCCGGTATAGCAAATGACAATACTACCCTTCAAGGAAGAAGAGTTTCTAAAGATCTGGTGGGAGTGTGAGGTTATTTTTCCGAAGAATAAGAGCCGTCGATTCTTTCGGGGCATCTCAGATTGAGGGGTCAGTGATTGCCCCTTAATTATTTTCCCATTTCCTAATTTTACACTAGCCGGAAAATCTCGATCGATAGTTCCCGCACCGACGGTCGTGATCCAAGGAGCCAAATAACTGACACTGCCCTTCTCGGGACCCTCATTTCCGGCTGAAGCAATGACTGAAATACCCTTTTCTGATGCCCTAAAAGCTGAAATGGCAATCAAGTCCATGTAGAAAGGCAATTTTAAAGACCCCAAAGACATAGAGATTACATTAACCCCATCTTTAACCGCTTCGTCAAATGCTTTTACAATATCCGATAACAAGCATCCATTAAACCAACAAACCTTATAGACTGATATCCGAGATTCCGGCGCCACACCGCCGGAAACCACACCGGCAAACCCATAAAATCCGGCACCGGAGACTGATCTTCCGGCAGCAATTGAAGCCACGTGTGTTCCATGACCATCATAATCTCTTGCCGATAAAATTTCACCTCCAAGATTCTTCACCATTGTTTCATAACCACCTGAAAAATACTTAGCTCCTATTAATTTTCTATTACAATGGGATTTATTGAAGTCTTGGCCATCTTGGCAATGGCCTTTGAAATGTGAAGGAATAGGGTCGAGTCCTTGGTCTTGAAAGCTTGGGTGTTCAGGCCAAATACCAGTGTCTAAGATACCAATCACAGATTCCGACCCATTTTTGGAGATCTTCAAAAGACGAGAGGTTTCTTGGCAAATGGGAGTGGTTTTCACGCAAAGACCGATAAATTCTGGTGACCGGGTGGTGTGGAGTTGTAAGGTTTCATCGGGGAAAACGGCGAGGACTCCGTTCATTTTTTTGATGTGGCGAAGTTGGGTCTTCGTTAGCGCTGCGGAGAAGCCACGGAAGAGGGTAGAGTAGGTGTGGATAAAGGGCTTGGAGAGAGGGGGGTTGATTGAAGAGGCCATGGATTTGAACCAGTGGGTGTGAGTGGGGAAAACAGTGGGTTTTGAGGCTCCATCTGATAAGATTATGAAGGTTTTGGGTGGGTTTGAGGGTTGTTGGTTTTGAGTGGAGCGGAGGATGAGAGAGAGGAGAAGGGGGAGCAGTAGAATATGCATGGTGCTGTTTTTGTTGTAGTGAGACAGAGTAGAATGTGAGCCTCTCACATTAAAAAAAAGACGGACTGAAGTTCTTGTTGAGTTCTTCAAGCAACAAGGCCATTGCTTTCCAGGATCTGAAAGTCGCACCTACGTGTTCTCTCTATGACCAGTGCCTTTCTAATATTCAAATCTCAACTAAGCTTTATCTCTCTAGAGTAGAGATGACCTTGATGCCAAAGCCTTCATTTTCTCCATTCGTTTTACACGAAACTAACCTTATCTCATCATATATGCTCACGACTCTCTCTCTCTCATAATATATGTTCTCAACTCTCTCTCTCTCATCATATATGGTCTCCACTCTCTCTCTCTCACACAAATTGGCTCGGATTTTGGTGTTGGTGGTGATAGTGATATTGATATTGTGTGCAAGGAGAACAAGGTATAGTCACGTCAATTAGACCAATCTTTTGCTTCTCATTTTTGCGGAATTTTACTTTTAGAAGCCTATACAGTACCCAGCATGCGCATATTATATACTTGCTCCCTCCAAAAGCCCTTCCAAACTTTGTCAAGTTTTACTTTTAGAGGGCCTACAGTGTACTCCGCCAAAAGCACATCGTATACTTGCTCCGTTGGGAATGCCTAGGAGGAGAATCTCCTCCCTTTGAAATTTGGATCTACTTTAGAATCAACAAATGAGTGTTTTGAAAGAAACAAAAATAGATTTCGATTTCCTGAATAATTTGAATGAAAGTTGCTACCCACTTTAGAATCGCTAAATATTTTGGGAAAAGATAAGGAATTTTGAGTTCCCCATTACCCAAGTCCGATCATTTGAAAATTGGATTGTCATTCTCCAATCATAGGACTTTTTTTTTAAGCACATATAAATTATATACGATTTTCATTTTCTATTCTTGAGGTCAATAGCGGGTTCAAGAGTTTACATCCAAGGAATAAGGTCCTAAAAAGTACTCCTAGCATGGTTTTACTGGAGAGAGTGAATGTAGGATATGCTCCTTAGAGCACATACAATTTTTTGGCTTTCCCATTACTGCATTATATGGGAACACTGTCATACTGGGTGTAGTGGGATCCATTGTGACCTGTGAGTAGTATGAAATGATTATCTACATTTATGGGGCCTATTAAAATGTGAAGACTTAGCTCCATGAGTCTTACCATTCATGGAGACGTCATTAGTCCATCTTCCCCCAACTACATTGAGTAACTCGTGCCAGTGATATACAATCCCCTACCAAAGAAAAGAGCCTTGCATTCAATAGAATCAATGTGACAGGGCAAAAGTAACATCTTAAATTTTATTAAATTTAGGCCAAGGTTTAGAGAAAGTGGAGCCTTTTCACAGGTTTACAATCATAATTTCAAAAGCCATAGGCAAAGTACTTGATAGCATCATCAAAATCAGATTATACTTCAATAATAACTTTGGACTCCACTGTTTTAGATCCCTTTTGGCCTCATTTAGGATGTAATGTCTATAAAGCCTAGGCTTCATGAAAACAAATTAAAATGTCACTTCAAATCTTCTTTCAAAAAGCACTTTTGGTATCGAAAATCTCCATAATGGTTTTAAAGACAAATTTTAACACCCAACTATGAAATTTGAAGTAAAGATAATGTGGATCCAAGAATACTTATTTTTAGGACAAAAAGGACACTCCCATAATGTTATATAATATACATTTTTTATAAGGCTTGAAATCCTAATTTGTTTATAATTGGGAATGATCAATTTGAACAACAATTTTTTATGAGATTGGTAGTGAGGCCATACTTATTTTAATAAGGCCACAACCATAAAAAAACATTTTCCTCCTTAAAACTAATAATGCAGTCAAAGTATGGTGACTGCATCGACGTACAATTCACATGACATTATGGGCCTTTTTCTTTTTATTCTTCCGTTACTTTTGCGAAACTTCGTTCTCAATAATATTGCAGTCTTTTTCATACTTTTGCGCACGTACAGAAAACCCCTGCGATTTTTTTGCAAGTTTTAATGACTTTCTTGTCCTTATCCTTAGCCTTTAATTCCAAGGTACGTCACCATGCTGCACCACGCTATCTACTTGTTTTCACTCAACATTATATCCCTACTCATTGCTCAACCAACTTGCTTGCCTCCTTGCAAAACTTTTAAGTCAGCCCGTAGCCCAAGCTCAAGCCCGTAATACCTAGCAAACTATGTACTCTGGAGCATTATTATCAAGACCAGACAATAAGGGCGATCAAAAGGGTCAAGTCCAAACCAGAAACTAGATTTTGTCAAAAATTGGTAAAAAAACATGATCGATTTTGGTCAATTAGACAAAATTTTGAGAGAGCAGATCAATTAGAAAAAGGTGTGGTTTCTATAAGGGTGCAACCTGCAGACCAATTAGAAAAGGGTGTGGTTTCTATAAGGTTGCAACCTTAAACAATCCAATTAAGGCACACCTCTAAATTTGATCATAATATGGAATTTTGGTGTAAACTTTTTTTTAGGATTATCTAAAATCTATTTTCATATTCAATCATCAAATTTTAAAATCCAAAAATGTTTAAAATCAAGTAAATCTATAAACCTGTGAAAATCTTGAAAATGTACAATCTAGATAATGTGTTGCAAGATACACTATTTTTAGAACTCAAAATCTTTTTTTTTTCATATTCATACATCTCTTTGTCAAGATGATCAATTAGAATGTTCTTCAACATTAAAACCTTTTCCTATGGATTTTTTAGGTGCGTATGTAATTCCAATTCTAAAGTTGCAACCTTATATAAACTAGCCATCGATTCAATGGCCAGTCCAATCATGATAACACTCCAATCTTGATAACACTGCCCTGGAGTGTTTTCATAAAAGAAATGCTTAAAAAATTGGAAATGGGGTTGAACCAATTACCCACTGTATCCGAGTTAATCACATGACTTGCAAATTTTCGAAATAAATCAAAACCAAAAAAATATATAAACAAAATTCAAAAAGCTTAACAATGTTTAAACAGGGCTTTAGAACTTCATATCGTTCTATGAAGAACAGTTTCATAATAACGTTTTTAACGCGACTTACCGGTGCATTAGGCCAAGTCCCAATTTTGGGAGAAAATCAAAACAGGTACTTGCTAGGTCTGATTCGACTAAGGTGGTTCCAGGTCGAACCGCAAAGTTTTCAAGTATTACATAGATTGCATGAAAGTGAGGGCCCATCTTAAGAGTGTAGATATCATCATAATCATCGTAACCTTTTTCCAACTATTTAAAATCGGCTCCACAAATCATGGTCTACCATTCTGTCCTAATTTTAAGAATGTACGTATGAGACGTTTAAATGAGGTCCAATGTTAGCCACACCATTTTGTTGTTGCAAATTTTTCATCTAAAAATTTATTCTTATCCCTAAAGCTTCTTTTTTTTAACGTTACTCATATTCCTAATCGATTACAACCCAAACCCAACTCTGAACTACCCATTTGAGGTAGGATGGTTTTATGAGCTAATAAAAATTAATGTTTTTCATGTCAAAACATAGTGGAAATCAAAGATGACATAAAACATTTGAGATAAGATAAAGTATCAGCTGTGTCTTGGGCGTGGACCATGTCTCTCAGGGTGCTCCTGCTATATCCATCATGTCTTTGGAAAACAGATTTTTGACAGAGCCAGAGAACAATTGAGACAGCAGATAATGAAAAATTTCAGATGAGGGCGTATAGCATGCTCCTGCGAGCAACATGTATTCCCTCAGGCAAAATAGATATTGTTGGACGATTTTTTAATTCAAAATTTTGGGACCCAAGTATCACTAGATGATTGTTTCAAAAACAAAAACAAAAAAATCATTTTTAAGTTCTTGAATTCTAGATCATTCTATCCAAAAACTTGACTGTTCCTACGCAATATCGGGAAGCCAATTTTTGTAGGCACATAGAGAGTGGGAGTTCTATGTTTTTTTGTTTGAGGTTGGTAATTGGGTTCAAGAGAATACATCACTCAAATTTGGTGTCTAGAAAATATTTCTACAAGTTTTATCCAAGGGAATAGATGAACTGAAAAATTATGAAACCATCTCCCTCAATCCTCTATATATCAGCTCACATATCATCATAAATATGGGATGGAGATTAGTCAATATAACAAATATCAGCAGGCTTTCTCAAGTCATGTATCCAGATGTTTGGATTATAACAATTTGCATATCTGCAAAGGACTTATATGTATACAGACATGGTAGTCTAGCTAAAAAACGCTTGCTTATACAATTATAAATGTATGTTGGTGTATACGCATACAAATGTGTCGTGTGCCTATGCAATGGACCAAGCAGGCCCGCTTGAAGAACCTGAAGGCAGGGGTGATAATTGGGACCTACCCTGGTTCGGGAATGTACTGCCCCATGGACCGGGAAGGTCCGGTACCGGTCCGGGTCCGGGTCCAGGTCAATTCCAGACAAACCCGGGAGATATATATATGGGTAGAGTACCTTGTCAGGTCCAAGTCCACTTGATCTCAACCCAACCGGGCATGGGTCCAACCTCGACCTTGATGGATCTGGTAGTCAACTTGAATTGTCTACAGCCCTACCGGAAGTCAGGTCTAGGTCAATAGCAGCCCTTTGGGCAGGGTTCAGCGTTAAATTCAGGGCAAAAAAATTTAGCAGGCCGTTTAGGTCTACATTATGAAGCCCGATAGCCCATGATTTGCTTGTACTGGCTTAGCCCATGTCTTGCCCACCTTAACTCATTTAGACTTTATAATAATATTGGGGATTGCCACTTGTATCAACATTTTGTTATAGCCATTCATTTACATGGGTAGAAGACTCAACCGAAACATTTTTTTTGTTTTTTCACCCAACCTCTGTGAACTTATTTTATATTTCTTAATATTTTTATGATAAGTCTTTCTCTCATTTTTTTCTTTTCCAAATTAGGCAGGCGGTGCCGGACCAAGTCTAGCCTAGGCTCAATCGTTCAGTCCTGTACATAGCAGGCAGGGCCCAGACTGGGGTGATTTGGGCCTTGAATTTTCCAAGATAAGGATCTTGAGTCAAGGGCGGTACCTGGGTCGACCTCGGCTGAACCCAGTCCCAAGCCTACTAGCTGCCCTGGTAGACCATATGAACCTGTAAATGCAAAAGTTACAAGATTTCGTGTACTACCTTTGTGTATATTATATGTGCCCTCCATATGTGTAGGAGAAGTTAAGATGATCTGCACAATCATAGAAAAGCTAAGGTCGGAAGACTTATCACTGGCCAATCAATTGATGGCAGTGATGGAGAATGGGAGCCATGAGAACATTACATGACCTAAGAGGTGAGCCCCACTGCCTCCATCACCAAGCATCCATTGATTGGATGGTGATGACGCTCAGTGTTTCTGTGGAAAGCAACGGTCCTGTGAGATCATGACGTACTGCTTTCCATTTGAGTAGTATATTTGGATTATATCTCCCACCCACCATGAGCCAAAACCAAGTTATCAAATAGAACAAAGCCAAAGCATGTTAATGAAATATAAATAAAACCAGTTTTGATATATTTGTATTTTTTTGTTGACTGAAATGTTTTCTTTCCTTACCTCTGCAAATAAGTTATTCCATGTCTGAAATCTCATCTTCATCTTCTTCCAATATATAAACTAGAGCACGCTTTCGCAATGTAAAGACACTAGCCACACCTCGAGAAGCTGCAGACAGGGATTCAGATCTGAGATTCCATTGTCAAAAAAATAGCAAATAATATTTGTTGTCAAACTTCAAAGAATAGAAGAGGCTCATACAGGTTTAATTTTCCAGCTGAAAAAATAGATGGATCCATTGCAACCTCAAGTGCGTGCTTGAGAAAGTTAACCCATACTGGATTCGCTAATTTACCCAACAGTAAAATTTTGTTACATGCAAATCCTGGAAAGTCATTGTTGGGAAGATTTCAAGGATATAGTTTTCTTTTTTGTTTTTTATTTTAGTTTCTCTTAAAAAATTTAAAAAGTAAATATTGGAGAAAGCTAACAAATGGGAAGAAAATAAATATAAAATACAATTAATAACTTCTTTTTGCACTTCAAAAATTTTTGGCTACATAAACTTGGATTCATCTTATGTTTGTCATAAGGCTCACAACCAAAGTTCTTCGTAGTTCTATCTAATCATAACACTATTCTCCCAGAAACATTGTAGGGAAAAGATTAACATTAATTAAAAGAACAACTGAAGTTACAACAACACTCAGAACTTACCGCTGACTGCTAATGGAGGGCTAACCAAATGAGGAATACATCGAGCTTTCCCATCTTTCCTACTCAAATCCACAACTGAACCCTACAAACAATATGGACAAGAGAGAACACATTTGCAACAACTTTCTTCTCCTTTTGTAACCAAATATAAGTAACGCTTTCACAGTGGATTTTAGTAAAGATCTGTCTTCCCCAAGTCAAAATGTATAAAACTGTCTCAAGCCATGGTTGTGGGCTCAAACCCCATGATTACCAGTACAAAAGAAAAATAGAAAGAAAAAAATACAAGCAAACACATCAATTATCAAAGGGAAAACTTGAATAAAAGTTGAACAGCATAAAAGGAAGGCTTAAAGAAGGAAAACATGCTTTGTTCAAGGAAATCAACAAAAGCGTGCAAAATGATACCACAGTATAATTCCAATCATAGAATACCTCTAACTGGCACATTTCCCAAAGTGTTAGGTTTCCTAGAGCTTCTGACAAGCACACAAAAGGAAGCTCCTTTGTTTCAACTATCATTAACCATGCCTTTCCAGGGCTTTCAGCATCCAGAGTAGTCTCATTCAATAACAAAACAATCTGGTAGTCCTGTTTCAAACATGTGAAGGTTCAATGTACATGATACAAATTAAACATGAAAAAATATAAAAGGGAAGATTGAATGGTTGATACCTTATACAAAGCAAGGTCCACACATTGGTAACCATCCTCGACACGAAGCAATACAACCTCCACTGAACTACTATTTATATCAACACTTTTACGGTCACGTGAAAATCCCCGTGCTACACCTATAATGCTTCTACTCTCTGAAGAAGTTTCATCCGGTATTCCAAAGCAGATATAATCCAAAATATCGTTTCTTGATTCACCAGATGCTGAATCACTTCTATCAGAATCCTATAAAGGCAATGTAAGATATTATCAGAAAAAAGATCCTCAATTGGTAAATAAAGTGAACGATAAATAGATTCAGAGAAAACCAATGTTAATGATATAAAATCTACTGAAGCATAATATGGAGGAAGTTGCAGATGCAAACTAGGTCTAGGACCTCCATATAGATGAAGTTACTCAAGAGTTACAAGAGTGTATAAGCCAACTTGATAAGGCAGCCTAACTTCCACTTTCTCACAAAAAATAAAGGTACATGGTAATATTAAAGATGATGATGATGATGAAAACATACCAAGTAGTATGACATTTTAACAGGAGAATTGAATGAAGCATATTTCTGTTGGAATGATGGAATATGGAACAACGGCATCACTCCTTCACAATGCAACTTTTGCGAAATGGCAATGAAGGGCATCGAGGTAGCCTCCCTAAAGCTGTGTAAGAATAGCAAAAGAAATATTCAAGCAACTCCAAAAGATACAACAGATTTTAAATTACAATAAAAACAATTGTTCTTTTAATAAAGAAAACTCATTGAAGGATTCGGTGAAAAATATAATTAACTAGACCTAGCATAAGCAAATTTAAGAAATCCAAAAGTAAGCACATCTATGATTCATGTTGCTCCCATGATGAGTACTTAAAAGAGTCCTAATTCGATAAAAAATATAATTCGGTGAAAAATATAATCAACAAGACCTAGCACAAGATAATTTAAGAAATCCAAAAGTAAGCACATCTATGATTCATGTTGCTCATGTGAAGGGTGCTTAAAAGAGTCCTAATTCATCTCGGCAAGTTTCAACTGAGTTTAACGAGGGTATTTCATATACTGATAAAAAAAGCTAGCGTAATTCATATTGCTCTCACTTAAGAGAAAAGACTCAAGTATGGTTCGGAGCTTGAGCATCCTTTTAGAAGCTAATATCACACACACATACACGCATGCATGCACGCAAGCACACACACATAGATTATATATATATATCAGTGTTTTAAAATGCAGGATGCAGCCAAAAGCGTTGGGAGGGCCGATACTGCTCGATGCAGTCCAAGCAGCATCGGCCTAGAAACTTGAAAATAGCTTCATAAAACATTCAACAATCAACAACTATAATTACAAATCTACAACCAAAAACTTTAAAGTTACAAATTTTATAAACTCATTAATCTTGAAAAGAGTCCATGAAGTTCTTCGACGCAATTTGTATACTTTTTATAAACTTTATAAATTGTATAAAAATGTTGTAACTTTACGATATCAGAGCATTTATGAAGATCAATAAATTTTATAAACTATTTAATTTGTAACTTTACTGTATTAGTCCACGAAACTCTTTAAAGTTACAAATTTTATTTGAAAAGTTCTTCAATTTGTAAATTTTAATCCTCATGGACTTTTAGTTTGTAGTATCATGTATTACAAATCGAAGAACTTCAACAAATAAAATGTCCTGCCAAAATTTTTTTTTGATTCAATCGATCTAATAAAAGCCACAGATGTGGCCAAAAAATGTTGTTTGGGTGGTTTAATACCCCCAAACCCTTTCCACCCATTTTCAAAGGTCAAAATGACCTTATTGCCCTACCCGAGGGGTAGGGTTTTGAAAAAAATGGCGGACAGATTATGCGGCCTCATGCAGTTAATGCGTAATGCGAGCACATCTCTTCAAACCGCATATGCAAGAAAGTGCGATGCGTTGGGTGGCGCACAACACCTGATGCGGCAGCATTTTTAAAATAATGATATATATATATATATATATATATATATATATATATATAAGAGAGAGAGAGAGAGAGAGAGAGAGAGATAGTATTACTTACTAATACGAACTAATAGTAGTAGTAGGTTACGGGTACTAGTAGTACGTAACTACGACGACGTAAGTTAATTAAGTAAGGTAAGGT